CAAAAGTTGTAATATTGAAACCTGGTGATCCGCCCAATTGCAATGAGAATGTTCACGCAGCATGTGAAATGTATCGCAATGATTTACCTCAAAGTTGTGATGAATGTCTATATATTGCATGCGATCAAGCAATTTTTGGGAGATTAATTCCCTATAAAGAAACTCACAATGATGTTTGACTTCTTTTGGGGCAGTGGCACACATCTAAAGATATGTGCAGCACTTTAATTACGATATTTTCCGGATACAGTATATTTAACCTTGCAGCAACTCTCGGTGTATGATATCTAGAAAAGTTTGAGCACGTAGTAGATTACCGAGCAACATGCTGTGTTTTAGAATTGATATGGGTGGCAGTCGGGATTGCATTGTGTCAGCATGTTAAAAAAGAAGAAAAAACAATGAGTGATATCTTAGATGGTAATAATTACCTAATAAAGGTATGGTATCTCTTCTTCCGCTGAACAGGATACTTTATAGGTCATAAAATCAGAATTATAAGAGGAAACTACAGCATGCAGATGGCAAATTTGGCTGTATTCGCACCTTTTTTTCTTGTAGCTGGAAAATTCAAATACGCAAGTTCTGTGGCGCACTTTTTAGTTCAGGTTCACGGTGATTCGCAGCTACAAAAGTTATTACAAATAGTGTATTCAGTAAATCTTACAAGCGAAGGACATTATTTTGCTTTTAACAAAGCACTTGAAACATACGGTGTAAAATTTGTTAAGCAAAATATAACTGGTAATATTACTGACCAAGAAACTATGATGCTAAAAATTAAAGCAGCCCAAAGCGAGAGAGATCGACTATTAATTCTTCTTGCAGAATACATCGATGATGTGTGTGGGGCAAAATTCTCATGCAACCAAGTTACGTAAAGATTCACTCTGGTTCCTAGTCACAAATCTATCATCTGCCTTCGATCATCTAAATCTTGCAACACATTACTTGTTCGAAGATGCACCAGAAATTAGCATGGATAGTATTAAGAACATTCTTTGTTTCTATGAGACTGGCAAATTACGTTTCAAGAAGTGCTTGCACAGGACGTATACAATACCGAGCCTCAAACCCCCAGACGTCGTGTACGAAATGTAAATTATTATACTTGTGCTCAGATTGAAAGTATGAAAAAACAAAAATGTAAACAAGTAAGCAACCCTATTCAAGAATCAAATGTTCAACAGCAGAATACTTTAGTTCCAGAGCAAACTTCTTTCTCTGCTAATCCTTTAAAACGTTTACATCGCACTACTTCGGAAATAGAAAGAACAATTCTTTCACGATTACTTGAACTTGGAGATACAATATCTAATAATAAAATTCAAGAAGCAGTATCAGATCTTAATACGGTTTCTTCAGATTGGACAGACAAAAAAGTTAGGCAGTATTTAATAAATCACAAGAACAAGAAAGTTTAAAATAAATTACACAACTTGCCTTTATTAATTCTAGAATTCAACTATTATATACTATATTCCATTTGCCAAAGTACCCCATATATAATACCCCTTATAAATATCCTGAAATTTTTCTAAGTACAGTATAACCTCGATATAACAAACCTCGATATAATTGTATAATGAAGGTTATTCCAAATTTTTATATTTAAATTAGTCTCGATATAACGAATCTATAGAAATTTAGATATAACAAAGAAAAACCTCCAGCTCCAGAGCTTCGTTATATTGAGGTTATACTGTTTTCAGATTTCAATCTACTTCAGGCTACAAAATGCCCAAATCTTTAAAAGATCTTGGGTACTTTGGCGAATGGAATATGGTAATTTAATATTTCAAGCTTTTATACAGATCATATTTGTCTAATATTTAAAAATTAAAAAATAATTAATAAAAATTTGAAGATCTTTATATACATAAACGTTTTGGTTTGGTTAAAATCATTTTAGAGTTTACAAAAGAAAATAAAGATAAAAATGGTTCGAATTAGCACTTTAATTTACCTTAGTAAAGAGCACCTCCTAATAAACACCTAAAAGCCACAACTAAAGTACTCTTGCAGCAATAATGAGTTTTGTAATACACTTTATTTGCCGTCCCTAATAAAGTAAACCTGGGTTTATTTTACAGTATTTAAAAGAAAATCTTGACATTTGTGTCAAAAAATTGCAACTTTCGGGTCTGATTTTATTTCGCAAAAACTCAAAGAATATGACTATTTTTGGCATAAAATAAAAGCATAAAACTTAAAAAATAAAACTTGTTTAAGGCTGGAATTTTGCTTGCTATTAATTAGTTGAAATGGTCAAAAAAGGTCACGACAACTTATGTTATACAAAGAATAATTATTAATAAGATCATTGGGGTGGACATGTTCTGTGACTGATATTATTTTACTTTAAATTTTAATTTATAATAATTTATAAAACATAGGTCAAAAAGAAAATCAGCACAAATTAGACAAAAGTATTAAAATGATAAATTTAACAGCTAAAGAGCTTTTAGCTTGTTCATCCATAAATATTTTAAAAACACCCAGCTTGTCTGAAATAATAACAATTGAATCTGAAATACTTGATTTGCCTAAAGCAATAGCAACTGAATCTAATATAATAACCAAACCTAATGTAATATTTAACACAACTTAAGCAATAACACAAGATTCAATTAAAAGTAAGGTATTATTATTCTTTTTTTTTTTTTATAGTCAAGGTTAGCCTCTTTGGCTTATTGCTTTTATTAGATATTAGGATCATGTAGTGCCCTTATCAAAGGGGCCCCAGACAAGTACATTCTGACGAAAATACATTCTAGCCACTTCACCTTTGAAGATTAAAAAAAAAAAAAATTATATACGGAATGCATACAAGATTTATCTTTAGCTATATTTATTATATACAGAATTTATACAAGATTTATCTTCAACTATATTTATTATATACAGAATTTATACAAGACTTATTTTCAATTATACTTATTATATATGAAATACATACAAAATTTATTTTTAATTATACTTATTATATACAGAATGCATACAAGATTTATCTTTAGCTATATTTATTATATACAGAATTTATATAAAATTTATCTTTAACTATATTTATTATATACAGAATTTATATAAAACTTATCTTCAACTATATTTATTATATACAGAATTTATACAAGATTTATCTTTAATTATATTTAATATATATAAAAATAAATACAATATATACTATTTAAATCATTAATAAAAAGGTTTCCGTATAAATATTCTGTATCATATGATATGGAATTCGCAGTCAATTCCATATAATTCTATACAGAATTTTATACTGAAAAATTTAAGTATTAATTCAAGATAATTTCAGTATATTTTTTTTCATAGAGGTACCTTTTGAGCACCTATTTAAGTAGTTTGCATATAGATAACTATATACTATAAGTTCTATACTAGCTGCCATATCTATAACTTGACTAGGAAATTACCTATTTAAATCCTCTGTAATGCAACCAGACCCTCACTTGTTATCACCAGAACATACTTGCTACATTTGTTAGTCGAGAAGTACCAAATGCTTGCTGTAGCCTTAGGACTAATTTATCCTTGAAGCATCATTGCTAGAGCTTTCTATACCCACAATCTGGCTAACCTAGTCTTTAGTAATTTATGCCAAGTCCAAGAATAAGTACTTGCGAGCTAAAGCCGCTACCATTACCTAGTCCTACCCGTAAAGTTTACTCAAACTCCAGCACCCACTTTATAGACCTTCACCATTTTTCCAATTTTTCAAACTCCCAATTCAGATAGTCCAGAAGGGTGAACCCCTTCCTTGAAATATACTAGTGGCCTGGTTGGTATAGTGTCTTGCCGAACACCTCAGTTTTGTCCAGTTTCCAGTTTTTTGATTGATAGTCCTTTACATAGCACTGTCAAAAGTCTGTGCTATCTCTCTACTCAGAACTTGCCAAGCAGGATTCTGTATGCCCCAGCCCTTGGATTTACACAAACGTTTTATTTAGATTTCATGTAACTCATGCATCATACTATAGTTCCCATTCTTCCAGTACAAGCTGATATAACCAAAGCTACAGATCTGATGATCCATCAGATTATACACAGTCTGCCGTAATATATTCTATAAAATTTAAATTTTGTCACCAGTGGGATTTGAACTCTTGTCCTGCCGCTTGGAGTGTAATAACTTACCAACTTAACTAAGTTGCTATACCCTTTTATATATATATAAAAATTATTAAAAATTGAATGTGCTAAAAAACTTAGATAAGAAGAATATACTGCAAAAATTTAGATAAAAAAATTATATTATATTTTTGTATAATAATGCCTATTTATATGATTTTGAGTATATACACATCATTTAGAGTATGTGCATAGACATTATTTTGAAACAAAGGCTGATTTTTTAGTAATTGTAGATATTGTATCTTTCTTAAATATATAATCTGCTAATCTGTTGATATAAATCATCAAGAAGTTTTGAAAGTGTTAACTAATAAGATGTGATATATTGCATAACAAACCTTATATATATTTTTTTATAATTTGACAATCCTGCCACTTTTATTTGCAAATTAAACTAAATTAAAAAATTTATATTCTCTAATAATAGCTATGCTAATCTACCCAAAAAGTAGCTTATTTACGCTTTCACCAGATATGACTGCCTCAGTAAACTTCAAGCCTCTTTTTGGGACCTTAACTTATTAGAGGTTATCCTTTAGTCATGAGCTGGTGCCATACACTGTATTAAAGTTAGCTTTCTTTTTTACAAAATAAAATACAAATACAAATACAAAAAGTATAACAAAAATGGAGAAATACTATAACATCAAGTTCTAGTTTACCTAAACCAATAAAACCAAATAAAACAAATAATAAAAAAAAGAAAAAAAGAAAAGAAAACAAAGATAGTATTATTAAACCCATGCAGAATTATAAAAATTATATAATATTACAAATAAACTAGACTAAACTCTATAGTAGTTATTTATGTTTATATTCAAGATATAAAAATATTAAAAACCATCTGGTTTTAAAGTAGAGCTCCAAGGATTAAAACTTCTAGATATTATTTCAAACCATCGACAAGCCTTCTGCAATATTTCAATCTGTAATTTCTTGAGCAAAGTTAATGAGCTGTTATCTGTCGACCTATGCTAGTGAATTAGATGCTCTCAATATAACCATTGCTACCTCTTTAGAAAAAAGTATCTTACACTATAAACATACATGTGTATATGTATTTTCTTTTCCAACAGTAATTGTTGTTATTGATCTTTTGTTGAGAGTATGCTGTTTTTTCTACTTTTTGGAAAAATTTTATAAAGACCAAAAAAGTAGAGTATGGAAAAAGCTTTTAGTTTGCAGATAGCCATAAACTTTGATAAGAAACATATTGAAAACTTACTTGTTGTTCTCCTTAGACTAACTATCTTTAACTTTGTCAGCAGAAGCAGAGCTTCTATTAAAATTTTCTGTACAAAGGCACCATCTTCTTGCTAGTTATCTTGTACAAAAATGCTTTTAACTTGTATACTGAATATACAGAGGAGTCTAGATAAATTACAAAAGTCTTGACCTCTATAAAAACTGTTATTATATATTGATTCTTACTTTTCCAAAGCCTACTTTTCTGAAAAACTATTTATCTAACATCACATATAGTTAGAGTTAACATTTTGTTAGTTGTAAATATATATTTTTAGTAAATTGCATCTGTGTAATATCGGGTAGGTAACATGTTGAGGAAATAGCTTTTGAGAAATTGTATTGTAACCATTATTATATAGTTGTTTTATCTACTTTTTTCTAACAAGTTTCTGTTTTTGTTAGCTGTAAATTTGGTATGAGTGATCGTTAGTGAAAGTTGTTTTAAAAATAAACAAACCTTATATTGTTTAATACTTTTATTAATAAAATTAGTATTAAACAATAAAGTGTAATAAATAGTAATTTATTTGTTATTTATCACATCTCTATTGTTTAATACTAATTTTATTAATAAAATATATTAAATAATATAGAGTTTGTTAAGCAATATATCACACTCTATTAGTTAATATTACAGATTAAAACAAAATCTGATTAATCTAAAATTTTTCTATTTTTTAAAAAAAATTTAAACAACTCTTTTCACTAATCTGCAATTTTTAATTAGGCAAAACCAAAATTAATAATTATCTCCAAATCTAGTATAAGAAACAAGATATCTTGTACTAAGAAAAAAGAAAGAATACTTAAAATAACCTATAGTTTATTAAGATAGGCTTTTACTCAAGACCTTTAGTTTAGTAACAACAAATTTTTTAGAAATTTTTATAAAATTTTCGAAAAATTTTGGGAAATTTGTCTAGACTCTGAAAATCTGATTTTAAAATGCATAAACAACAACAAAACAACAAACACGCAAGATCAGAAAAATAAACAAACAAATAAACAGCAGATCATGTTA